TGTTATTTATAATATTCAGAGAATATTAAATTTGTATAATAATTTAGATATAACCCAGGCTGTGGGTGGCTCACATTTACATTCTTGTATATCTAAAAATATCCAACCACAAAGTGAACAAGCATCAAATGCATCATCACCTTCAATTAGAAGCCCCTTACCCGAAAATTTTTATAACCAATGCTCTCTAACATCTAAAATTAGCCAGTCTCTCTTAGCCGAAAAGCATTTATCTGAGAGTGTTTATAGCCAACTATCCCCAACACCCAACATCACTTCTTCTTCTTTAACTAGAAACTATTCATTTGAAAATATTGTTAATCAATGGTCATTAGCATCAACCACATTAAACACAATTAACGTCTCTTCGTCTTCCTTAATTGGTTCATTTAAAAGCGATCTTGAAGTCTGTTTGTATTTAGTGCAACATTCAGCTCTTATCAATTTAGCACTAAGCATGATAAATGCAAATAGTCAAGAATCTGTAATTACACAGAGAAAATTTGATAAGTTTAGTATGCTTCCAGAAAGGGTAAGTTTTGATTAAGATTCTGCAAGTGGCAGCAATTCCAAAACCCAATTTTGATATGATTGTTGCAAAGCTAAAACATGCAAATCTTATAATATTTGTATATTTTAGCTTTGCAGCAATCATATATTATTTGATTAATGTTAATAACACAGTTATTTACTTCCTTTTAAATAGGATCTTAGAATGCTCCAGATGCACTTGAAATGTCTTTTTTTTCATACACGAGTGGTAAACAAGCAAATTATTGCCGCACTAATGAGAAACTTGTTTTCAGATATTCAACATTCTGATGCATCAGAACATGCTGCATTGCAGAGATGCATTTTTGGGTGTTATCGAGATTATAATGTAGCATTAAGACATGAACTTCGAAAGCTGGCCTCAGAATTTATCAGAAAGCATAAGTAAGATTATTATAATAAATTTTTTGTCAATATTAAAAAAAATCAACAAATTAATAAAAATTATAGATTAACCAAAGTGAAACAGCCAACAATACAACAGATTTCTGAATATATTACAGAAAGAAATTGGGTGGCTTTCTTGAAACATCATATGGATGTTACAGATGTGCAAAGAACATTTAAGATCAGCCTGAAAATATTAAAAAATTTACCAATTTTATACGATCATTATTTAATTTCTTTGTTCAAGAAATCCTTTTAGACAAAGATGTAATTGACGATGTCAAAAATTTAAATTATATAATGGTTGATATGGAAATATTTACGGCTGATAGAAAAGACTTCTTGCAACAATTAGATCTTAGGTCTCTTCTTAAGCTAGACTAGTGCTTATTAATGCTATTTGCAGATAACATTACTAATAGTAATGTAAATAATAAATAATGCTTAATATGATGTAATTGCTCTAAGT